GCCAAGCCGGCTCGGGCTCGGCCTCCTCCGCCCAGCGGCCCTGCCGCTGCCAAGCCGGCTCGTGCTCGGCCTCCTCCGCCCAGCGGCCCTGCCGCTGCCAGCTGGCCTTGTCCGCCCAGCGGTCCTGCCGCTCCTCCCAAGCCATGCGCGACGCGTCTCGAATTGCTCTGAACCAACACTTCTGCGCGCGCCCGCGCGATTTTGTATATATATGTTTGCTAATTTTCGTCTTCAAAGATCGCACTTTCTCTGGAAAAAATTAAAAAATAACTTCCAGTTACTTCCGGATAACTTCACGAAAAATTGAAAATCAATACTCTGAAAAACACCAGTGAGTTATTAGTAAGTTATATATTCACTATTACTTTAAAAAATCCATAACTCAGTGATCCGGAACTTCAGGAAGATATAGTGCTCTATAGTACACTATAGTGAACTGCAAGTTCTCGCTAACTTCAATAACTTCCGGGTCTCACCTTGTAGAACTCGCTTTCACCGCTCGACAATGCTATTGTGGATTGTACTGTAGATGAGCTCTTCAAGCAATGTCCTCCTGCCATACAAACCAATCCACTTGCGCTCTTTCGAGTAAACAAGCAACCTGCATGGTCACTATCCGTAAAACAAGTGATGGTGTCGTAGGCTTCTTGAGCGCGGAACTCCTGCACGAAGCGTGGACAACCTTTGAGATATCGTCCAAGTATGCTCCGTTGGCGATGCCATGAAGCGAGCCAAAGTCTTGACCCTCTCACAAATGTCCACACGATCCTGACTCAACACCTCAGCCGGCGTGACCACAGGCTTGGCTTCTTCAAGTCCTAGTTGTCTGATCACAGTTTCGGCATGCAGGGCCTATGCTGGCATCGACTCGTAGCTCAAACTTCTTCCTGAGTACATCTTCAACACAACGAAGTCGCCCCCCATGGCATAGGAACCTGGAGTGGCTACCCCTTGAACAACGTTTTCGCGCAACAGCTTGCTGTATGTTTCTTGCCAGATACTGCTGGCATCTTGCGTTCCATACATTGACTTTCGAAGTCGCGCACACTCAGAATTCGTAACTTTAATGCTCCTCCACACTTGCTTGTCTTCATGGACACCATTAGGCTGCACAACACTTTCAAAGCCTCCAATGGTGGCACAGCTGAAAACCACTCAGCGTCGTCCAATATTTGGCCTCATCCTTCACCTGCAAACTGGGCTACTCGTGCTCCCTTTCTTTGTCACTTTTGCCGTTCCAGAAGTAATCAATCCCAATCACCGGGAACGCTCGTTGCGCTTTCTCTTCCTCAGGAAGGCGCGCATGTCTTTCATCCAATCCTCGCGCACGAACACAGTGATCACACCACGTCCTGTAAGTGACGGGGCCAGGTGCTTCGTGTTCCTCACTTTCCTCAAGCGTAGGACTCGTAGGACTCTTTGGGCTCCTCAGAACCTTTGGAGCCCGTTGCTCCTCAACACTCTCATCGGCCCCATCAATGATGGTAGTGTCTTGTTCAGGCGAGCTTGCGAACTCTCTCTTCTTCTAGATCTATTGGACCGATTCGCCTCAGGGTGCTCCTTTGGGTCCGGCCGGTCCAAGGGACCGACTCTCCCCGTCGGAGTCTTCGGACTTACGGATTGACCTGCCGCTGGAAACCCGCCTCCACAACGAGTTCCTCGACCTTCGACCTTCTTGCGCTTCTCGCTCTCCTGCGCAGCCTTGCGCCAAAATCGAAACACAAGATGCCCTTATATATGCACATATAGTTTCGTGATGTTCTCATTCTCCTCCGGAAACTTGCGCTTCAACCCTTGTAGCGCCTTGCGCATTCCGTGGGCGATTTGTCCATTGCGTGGGACGATAGCGCCATGAAATACCATCCATGATCACAAAGTTCTTCTCTGACACTTTGCTACCAGAAACCAGCAAGCGATGCACTCCGACCAATCGCCCATCCAGTTTGCGTCCAAAACCTTCAGCATTCTAGCCATATAGCGTGGCACCACCTCCATCAAGGATGAGCTCACCGCTTGCGGTCTTGTAGCTCGTACTGTTTGCTGCTCCGGCCTTCAGGTCCAACTTCTCCTTGAGCTCGACCGGAATCGGAATCGCTGTGATCGCCGCACCTGTGTCCAGGTTTGCTGTCACCCGGACCCAGCCATCCTCTTCGACTGTGATCTCATTGACGGCGAGCGAGTTGATCTCCTCACGGGTCAGCTTCACTTTCGCCAGATCTTTCTTCACGCTCTCGTGGCGCTCTTCCAGGAAACGACGTTCGCGGTCGGCTTCTGAATTGACAATTTTGCATTTGTGGCCTCTGCCACAGTGGGATCGACGGAATTCTGCACAGCGCATTCTGTCCTTTGGGTGCGCCAAATAGAATCGCTCTTCTTCCGCCTTTCCCTTGCGGGCCCGCGCCATACGGACCCGCTTCTTCCTCGAAACCTTCTTCTCTTTCGTCATGGGCCGTACTCGGCGGCGGAGAACATCTACCCGCTTCCGGCCCATCACCTTCACCTCGTCGTCCTTCGTCTCTACGCTGAACTTCGCGACCTCATCTTGGGTCAGTTTCCTGCACGCGCGCTCGGACTTGAAGAACTTCCCGAATTGGTGTTACTTCACTTGACCCGCGCCACGCGTTTCGCCTGACCTGTGAAAACGCGAGCTGTCCCATCGGCGTGTTCCTCCACGGCCTCGGTCTCAATAGTGTGGTCTTCTTCTTCACGATCAAACTCTTCTTCCTTCAGGCTTTGAATCAAACTCTGCACGCCACTGTTTATCCTTTTCAATCCTCTCAGCGGCTCGTTCAGCAACTCCTCGCTGTCGATGAAGAGTGGCCTTTCTCCTCCTGCGCTCCTGATTCCAAGCCAACGAATGGGTCGCGCCCGCTTTCCTCGCTTGATAGTATCGCGAATCACGCCAGCTTGGTCATTGAGCGTCTCCTGAGTGAGCCTGGGCACTGCCTTCGCTTTTGCTTTCGCTTCGCGGTCATCGCGCTGGATCTCCTTCAACTTCTCTTTCTTCGTCTTCAAGACTACGATCTCGGCCTCCAACTGCTGGATCTCCTCTTTTGTCTCGCAGCCCTCACACGCCGCCACCTTGTCCCGAATCTCCGCGTCGACGTTGGCCACCTCCATGCCTCACATGCGTTCGACCGTCCGATGCATAGTTGTCCCACTAGTTGTCCCAGATGCGGATCCTGCAGGCCTAGCTGGGAACTCGGCCGAACCAAAAGTTCGACTCAGCTCCTCGTGCACCTTGGCCTTAATGTCTTCGACACGGTCTTGTGCTCTGGGCCCGGATGAAGGCTCGGCCAGACCAGAGCGACTCGTCTCATCACCCTTGGATCCTGAGGACTGGCCATGGCCACAGGCCTGAATCTCATCGATGGGCTTGTCAGTCAACTTCACGAAGTACAGCAGTCGAAGCTCCTGTCGGTCTTTCTCAACTTGCTGCAAAATCTCTTTGTTCTTCTTCATTGAACTCTCTTCGGGATCAACCTCCTGCCTAAGTTTCCTCTTCAAGTCTTCGCTATAGCCCTGGAAAGTTTTCAGTGAAATCCCTTTTGACAGTGAGGCAGATCGTCTTGTCCACGACGTACTCGAAATTGTCCGGCTTCGTCATCTTGGGTGCGGACGATGGATTTCAGATCGCTATTCTCCAACAGTCGATCTCGGTCCATGCCGCACAAGTTGCAAATGTGTTCCACGTGTCCTCCTTCCATGCCACAATTCTGGCAGAAGCAACAGTCGCATGGATGCGTGCACTTGTCTGGATCCTCCAACTCCTGTTTGATCTCCGGATCGATCCCAACCTCGATTTCGAGTCCAGCCAAACTGAAGGAGCCCGTTTCGACTGGGTCAACGTAGGGTTCTGCAACTATCTCCTCCCAGTTGAACGCCTGCTTCTTCTTGCTTTTCCCTCTGGGAGTCTCACGATCTTGCTTCGAATTCGGATGTGCTGCACCACCACCGACACTCCAGCGATCACATTGTGTCCTGCCTTCTCGCAACTATGGCACGCTTCTGCGGTCGGTGTGCCGATGCCCTTGCCTTGACGCGCTTGCGACTTGCCCTTGCCTTTGAGCTCGATCTTCTTACCCTTGCCGTCCTTGCGGTTCTCCACGGGGCACGTTTGGTTCGCCTCACCAGGCCGAATTTCTCTGCGGCCATTTGACTGCTCCTGCTGTTCTTGTTGCGCTTGTGTCGGCGTCGCCACCTGTCCTTGCACCTGCCTCCCTATACTGCACCTGTATCACTTCTTCTCATTCTTCTCTTACTTGCCTCATGATGGCAATCAGCTCACCGCCCAACTCTCTCACCAGCGATGCAAACTTAACACATTCATGTCCCACAGCCAATCATTCACAGGGAGTAAAACTGCACCAACATCCGTGGCCATTCCTTCGTCCGAGAATTGGTCAACTACGTCCAGATACTCTGATCACGAGGTGGAGTTGGATCCTCCTTCTCCGGACTAGACCGGCCGAAACGGCCGATACCAGCCCACTGGAGATAGGAGTCGAACTCGAGCGGCGCAATGTCCGGGATCTCAAACCGAGCGCTCCGCTACCATGAACAAATATATCAACCCTCAAACGCGCAAGCAGCGGGCAGCATACATTTCTTGAGCCAAAACAAGCGATCGAACGCGTACGACGCGAGGCGACATATTGTCAATTGCATTGATGCATTCATACATACATTCATGCATACATACATAACATTGCATTGCATTGCATTGCATTACACATATATACATATGCGTTAGGTGTTCGACTGGTGGCAAAGCTACACTGCGCTTCTCATTCCAAAGGGAGTTCTGTAGCTCCGTCTTGCTCGGCGTCTAAATGACACTCTGTCTGTGCCACCAGTACCGTGACAAATTGCGAAAACAAGCAATAATCCGATCATACAGTCATACAACTTCCCATTGTGCGATTTCTTGCTTCTACGCAGTAGGGCCGCCGCAAAATCATTACTGCCACAATCTTTGGCGATACGTTGAGTCAAGCTGCTTGAGAGGATCATGGTTGCGAGGAACCAATCAGTCTTCTCTGAGGCCAAAATGCCTGATTTCAAAAGGTCAAAGGGTCAATCGGGCTGGGAATACAAGCGATGAACCACCGTTACAATGAATAGTGTAGCCGGTTCCTGCTTTGCACCATGGTGCACTGCTGGCGTTTCCTTTGGCCGTGCAGCTGATGCCGAGGTGCCATAGATGCGTTTTCGTGGTCCAGACCACTTGGAATAACCATGTGGGTGAGCAGTTCCCTCACCATCATCAGATTCATCATCTCGGCCTGCAATGACGGACGGAAGCAAATTGACATCCAAGGGGTCAGTTCCCGGACTGTCGCCATTGCAGGTAGTCTTGGCCTAGCAGCAGCCTCCAAATGTCTTGACATGGTTCCGGGCCCAGTATTGATGTGATTTACTCTGACAACCTTTAAATTGAGGGACTGCCCATGAAATAACTCCAAGACTGCGCGGTTGGCAAAGCCTAGAGCAGAAGCTCCAAATTTGCGGCGCTTGCCCCCCCTCAGACACAGGTTGAATCAAACGAACCCAATGTTGGCGGCATTCCTTTCATCCAAGACACAGAAAAGCCATGGCTCTCCCTGGCTGTGAAACGTCAGTTGCACTTCCACCCGTTGTTCCGCGCTGCAAGTTGCCCTTTCCTTCTTAAACTGCCGCAGCAATGTTCAGCGTCCAACAACAATCTGAATCAAGTACAACAACTACTGTAATGGATCTCAACAGCGAAAAACAAATTATCAGCAGCTGGGGAACTGGGCAGCCCTACCTTACAACTACGAGCCCCAAGGTAGCAGCACGGAAAGTTCCAAAACGACAAAGTCAAGTACCCACAGCCTGACTTTGCAAACATGAATCAGATGTTAGCTGAGCTACAGTATATCAATTTGAACTGCAAAATCCTGACATGGTTTGCTCCAGTCTCTTCCGCAAGGGCCGTGACAAGTTAACGGATCTTGACACACTTTACGGCAACATTTGCTTCCGGAGTGTTACACCACTCAGAAGCTTGAAAGCTGACTTTCGCAGTCTTCACGAGCACACCAAACTAGGTCTGACGAGCGCAGCAATAGCCAAAGAATCAGTGGTGACTTCCCACAAAGCATGGTCTCTCCTGCTTGGCCATGGAAAAACGAAAGCAGGCAGGAAGGAGGGTGAAGGATCAAAAAATAGCATAAAATCCACTGGAATCAAAAAAGAAAAGTTTAAAATTAGATATTCACAGTGAGCAGCGAAAGGAAAAAAGACTAGGGAAAGGACAACAGCAGCAGGGCAACAAAAGGATCAATGCAGCACCCCCAAGGCAAACCAAACGCAAAATCCACCCACAAAGAAAAACAAAACAGAACGAAAGGACATGCAGTAAATGTTGGACACGGTGAAGGTGGGCCCCACCAAGCCACAATGAAAGGATGCAGGCGAAGGCATGCAATATTTGGTGTCGAGATGCGACGGTTGACCTTTAAAATATAACCGTCCTAGTAGCGTCCTTGCTCCTAGTAGCAATGCCAGGAGCCCCTAGTAGCATCCTTGCTCCTATCGTGGGAGGCACGGCGCATTGGCAAAAGTAGTGTAAATTTCGCGGCTCTCGAGGTTGGGGGAGGGCGCGGCACCTTCCCTCGCAGAGCGAACGAAAATCAAAAGCCACCAGTGCCACCAGACTCAGAAGGCACCACAAAATAGATCATCATCGAAAACTACACACCCCTTTGCCCCAGGGAAGCATCCAGAAAGTGACACAAGGACGGTAGCTCTCTTTGCAAAGGTCGCGCCAAATTCGTACATTTCATGAATTCGCAAATCCCGCATTTTGTGACCAAAGAACCATGAGGCCAGCGGACCAGGAAAAGGACCAGGGGCAGGGGACCAATGGACTAATGTTTAGGGGGCCTATTGAGGATTGTTTGATAGTGTGATATTTTTTGTTGGTCTGGTTCCTTTTTTGGTCCTGTTCTTAGTCTTTTTGATCTTGATGCCCAGGCTAAGGGGCGTTTCCACACTTGAAAATCATGTCCGCATAGTGGCCCACCCCGAATGTTTCGTGCCCTAGCCCCAAGGAAGCTGGGAGTTTTCCGGGGAAATCAAGATCCATGTGGGTTTGCGAGTGTCACAAGTTCTTCCACTTAATGCCACTTTCTGCGTGTGATCCCCTCAGCACGAAGTCTACTTCAAGACATCTTCAACGGCGACTTTGCAAAACTTGCGCGTGTGGCAAACGCCCAGGCAATCATTTTCCAAATTAACCCTGTGCAGTGCAGTACACAATTCACGGCAAAACAGCTGCGAATGCTAAAGGCAATTTGTTGAGCAACCCAGCACACTGCGCACAAATTCTCCACAGTCAGGTATCTTCCCAGATATGGAGACTGACTTTCTCCGAACTATGCCTGAGAAAGCCACCAGCGGTTACAACGTTGCAATTCTGCGCACTGACGTTCGTTCCTACAATTCAGCTAGAATCTAGAAATAGAATGACGAACTGGACCAAATATGACATATGTGCCATGCGTTCAGTGTATCAATGGCTTGGAGATCTGAACCAGGTGCTAGAAGCAGTTTGAGGGGTGTGACACCAACAACCCCAAGAAGTCCTCTTTGCATAAACATAAAAATTTCACCGCAATGCATGTTAGCATACATACATATATATATATATATATCTATCTACACATACACATTATGCATTTGTAACACCCTTCGCATAAGCCTCCCATCTCCATCTTCCAAGTAACATCGCAGTTTGTCGGGAAGTCTTGGTTGCAGGCTAGAAATACCAAGGCAGGTTCTAAAACTAGTCAACAACTTCGCTCTCATTGAAGGATACGACGGCCTCTTCTCGGCCACTGTGGCCTCCCAACACTCCATAGCCTCAAGCAACACAGCGCTTCACAGTCCACTATGTCATGTTTTCTAGACCAAAATTTGTTGTGGCGGGGATTATCGAAAGCCGCAACCAACATTGCACTTCTATGTGTTTTTCCTGAAAGCATTGCGAAGGGTTCTTCCGGAAAATCCCTTGAACATTGACACTTCGACACTTACACTTACACACTGACACTTCCACACTTGCACTTCAACACTGACATTTCTACACTTACACTTGAACACTTACGCTTCCACACTTACACTTGAACATGAACATGAAGACTTACACTTCTATACGTATCCCAGGGCAAGTGGAAGAGTGAAAGCACCCAACGGCAAATATACCCAAGTGTAATGCAAGTGTGAGTATGGAAAAAGTGCACGGGAGATGTCCTAATGAAAAAACATTTCCCCACTTTATAAATTCTCTCTTAAAGGCAGAGATTGCGACGAACAGCGTCAACCGAAAATGCAACCCTCTGCGGAGATCGTGCGTGTCGAGTGCGCGAAATGCACGCGAGAGTGCGATTTGTCCGGTGTGCGCGCAACCCTCTGCGGAGATCGCGCGTGTCGAGTGCGCGAAATGCAGGCGAGAGTGCGATTGGTGCGGTCCGCGCGCAACCCTCTGCGGAGATCGTGCGTGTCGAGTGGCGAAATGCAGGCGAGAGTGCGATTTGTCCCATGCCCGCGCAACCCTCTGCGGAGATCGTGCGTGTCGAGTGAGTGCGCGAAATGCAGGCGAGAGTGCGATTTGTCAAACCCTCTGCGGAGATCGTGCGTGTCGAGTGCGCGAAATGCAGGCGAGAGTGCGATTTGATCTATGCCCGCGCAACTCTCTGCGGAGATCGTGCGCGTCGAGCGCGCGAAATGCAGGCGAGTGCGATTTGTCCGGTGTGCGCGCAACCCTCTGCGGAGATCGTGCGTGTCGAGCGCGCGAAATGCAAGCACTGGCGACTTTCTAGTACTACTTTAGTACGCGGAGTATCTGGCGAGCTGGAAGATGAGAACTGGCGACTTTGTAGTACAACTTTAGTACGCGGAGTATCTGGAGAGCTGGAAGATGAGAACTGGCGACTTTC